GCCAAACAACAATGACGGCTGCAACCAAAAAATGGCCAGGCGTTGTGGCCGGCACCTGTGGTCCCAGCTACTTGGGAGGCTGAGGCAGGAGACTCCCTTGAGCCCAGGAGTTGGAGGTTGCTGTGAGCTGTGAGGCCATAGCACTCTACCCAGGGGGACGGCTTGAGGCTGTTTCAAAAAAAAAGGACCGCAAAGAAGTGTGAATTCCAAACAATTCTCCCAAGTCCTAACATTTCTTGTTTTTCATTTTATAAGTGTGACTCAAGCCCACGGAAATAAGGCAATGATGGAGCTCAAGGGCAATCAGAACTCCTTGATTATTCCGTTGGTCACCGGGACTCTAGAGCAGCAGCTCAGAGGGCTTGGCTGAAAGGTTTTCACCAGAGCACTAATCGTATGGGAAGTCTCCTCCTGCTGCCCTCCATAGGCAACAGCGCGTTAGGACTAAATACCCTCCTGTGGTGAGAGACGAATAAATCACTCTTTACCTCTGGCAAATGGGAGAGTAAGATCTGTGAGAGGAAGAATCTCTATTGACAGCAGACCAAACTGGGTCATTGCTTTTCTCAGACCACCCAGGCAGTTTTTAGAATGTCCCACGCTACAGGAAGGGGAAAAAAGCAAACAATAATATAGGAGATAGCAAACAACAAAAAACACCTAAATGAGGCAAGGGAGAAAGATGGAGGCTGGCTTGGGGTCTGGAATCAGCCTACAATCCTCTGTGTTTTAGCTAATGTCCACGAATTGTCCAGAAAACTCAGGAAGACCTATTTGCTCTAACTTTTAAAATACATATATTCATCCTAGTCTACCAAGTCCTTATGTTTTCTTTCTAGGTATCCAAAAACACAACCCCATTATAGTTCTATTGGGCTAATAATTTATAGACCACTTAAAATACCAGGTAGGTGAACATGGCTTTTGTGAAAGGGCCTGAGGTGGAAAGTAAATTGATTCATGATTCCTACCTGGTGCCCTCTCCAAGGAAATGGTCCACCTCAGAGGTCTGGGCCAGGATTTGCAGGATGTCTGAAAATCCCCTTATCATTCTTCAGCAATATAAAATGCCGTATTTGCAAACAAATCTGAATCACTTCAATCAAGGCCATTTTAAAAAATCTCATTTAAAAGAATCACAGGTTTTTTTTTTTTTAACTACTCAATTTGCAAACAAATCCCTGCTATTTCTGCTAGTGGTTCCAAGGTAATGTGCTTCCCTCTGCCTGACCTAAAAGTGGAGCAAAGGTGTGTGGGCAAGGTCAGTGTTACTTGGTTGGCAGAGACAGGTGGAGACATAGTGGCTGGCTGTGTTTACCCCCAAGCCTTGCCAACGCTGTGCTAGGTGACTGGACTAGAGGAGAGGGGCCCAACCTCAGGTTTCACTTCCCCAGCCCGTGTTCAAGGGAACCAATGAAGGCGCACACCCTGGCCAAAGTGACATCTAGCCAAAGGATCCCAATAAAATGAATTTCATAGAAATGTAAAAGATGATCCGTGGCCCAATTCTGTGCTTCTTACAGGCAATGACTACCAGATATGTCGAGACGTGGCTTAGAGCAGAGCCAGGTCTAGGGACAAGGGCTCTGCTGGCTGCCCTTTGTAGCCCCTGGGCCCAGTTCTTCACTCTGAGTGTAAGGTGAGGCGGCAGAGTGCACATAATGGCTGCCATGTCCCCAGCCTGGCTGGCAGTGTTGGGATGGCCTTGACGTCCTGTGACAAGGCCATAAGGCCCTCCCCATAAGGCTGAGAGAGCAAATGGCAGCCAGTCTGTCTTTGTGCAGATTCTTTTGATTCAAATACTAAGGGTATTGACGTCAGCCTCAGGAGTGTGACTTACAGGGCAAATTTTGGCTCTTCAGTGCACAGGTAGTCTTGTAACCTGGCCAGTGTGGGGCGTCCCTTAGCCCCTCCCTCCCAGGGAGGGGCATACTGAAATGAATAAGGCAACAGTTAAGGGCACACTGCTCTGACCAGCTGGAGTCTGGCCTGTGTGAAGCCAGCAATTTGTAACACACCAAAGAAGGTATCTGAGTCCAGTGTGATAGTTGAATTCCTCCTTAATCTGTGATTTGGTGAAGCTCTACCTGTGAGGTATTTTTGGTGTGTGGAAGACTGAAAGTGGAGGGAAACAAATATGAAAGAAAAAAATAAAAATCCAAAAAGACAAAAGCAGTGTACCTTATGCTGGTTTCTTCAAACATAATGTTTGTGCCAAGAATTGGGCAAGAGAGAAACCTATGCAATGCATATAATAACTTATCCTGAGGCACTCCCTCCCATGCTGGCTTAAAGATCTCACACACACAAAAACTCTCCTTGTTTATAAGGAGCTATCTCTTAGTATGTGGGCAGGACTCCTAATAAGCCCATCGTTAAATAATCTAAAACAGGCACAAGAGATGTCCCTACATGGGTTCCTGAGACTTGTCTTGTGCAGCTCCAAAGTCACAGACTCTTGAGAGCTCCAGAGAAACAGCGTAGATAGGTAGGCAAAAAGAGTCCTGGTGCCTGCACCAAGCTCCTCTTCCAAAGCATGCTTTACTCAAACAGGGCAAATCTCTGTCGGGCCCCGCTGCCTTTAGGGCAGTGAGGATTTGCAGGGGCATGCAGAATGGTGTCAGTATATAAACCCTGCCTCACTACTTTTGAATCTTCATTCTGGCTTTCTAGGCAAATTCTTCTTAGGATACAAAGCACATGTTAGAGCTTCTTTCTTGCCATAATGCAATAAATTTGCAGCCATTCTACAGAAGACCTGAAGCTCTTGGGTGGAAAGAAGGCTTATCATGTGTGTATATGATAAGGAGGGGGGTGTTTGGGTTACAGGTATTTCCCTGGAGGAGGGGGGTGTTTGGGTTACAGATATTTTCCTGGAGGAGGAAGGTGTTTGGGTTACAGGTATTTTCCTGGAGGAGGGGGGTGTTTGGGTTACAGGTATTTTCCTGGAGGAGAAGGGTGTTTGGGTTACAGGTACTTTCCTGAAGGAGCGGAAAAGGTTAAATGTATCGGCAGCTGAGCTGTCTCTCCAGGGGATATTGTAAAACAAGTTCAATGCAAACCTCTCCCTCTGAAGCATGAATGTTCCTAGCGGGGACAGGAGAGTTCCTTCAGTTGCACTGATGTGACCTCGTGTCACATGCTGGAGCATCTTCCCAAGTAACTGAGGAAGGTACGGTAATGAATAAAAGCACTTCGAATATATACACACCAGGCAGGTAATGTCTACCTCCCTGGTTAAAGCAAAGGCACCCCACATAAATACACCTAGGACCTCACCCACCAAACCCTCCTCTTCCTCTACCCCAATTCTTCCACCAGGGGCCACTGGAAGTAATAGGTGCAGTCCTGGCTCCTCGTTCCCCGCCATGAGGTCTGCAAGTGGCTCTGGTGAAAGGTGCTAGAAGTGGTGCTGGTGAAAGGCTGCAGATGAGGGACCTTTCTCCAGTCTCTTGATGTGGCAGGAGTGACAGAACAGGTGGTCCTCCAGTGGGTAGCAGCGGTGACCGTCCTCATCATTGAGCTCTAGGCCACAGTCCTGGAGGGAGACAGAAATGTCCAGTGACACCCAAACAAAACAGACTGCAAGACTGCCATAAAGGCCACACTCCCCAAAGTCAACAGAGGGAGCTGTGTATGTCTGTATAGACAGGAAATACCAGTGCAGAAACACAGGGCTCCTGCCTAGGGGAGGCCTGTCCAACCTGGGAGCCACCACACACCTGGCGCTCACCGTGGAGCATGTGAAACGGGGCTGATAGGAACTAAGACATACTGTCAGTATAAACACACACCAGACTTCTAAGACTCAGAACAAAAAGAAGGTGTGGAAATACCTCGTAGATAATTTTTTTATGTCAATTACTTGTTGAAATGGTAACAAGTTATTACTTGTTGATAAAATTAATCCCACTTGTTTCTTTTACCTTCTTAAATGTGACTACTAGAAAACTTAAAATGATATGCCTAACAGGAATCTGTTGTTCTCATCTTTATACTGGACAGTGCTGGTCTGGAATGTGTGAAGAGAACTATTGAGCAAGTGTCTTCACCTTTTTCTTTTGGGGTGACCTGCAGCACCTGGTGTATCACTGGCAACAAGACCAATCTGCGTATCACCTACACTCCCTGTTCTCCCACCCACAAGGTCACCAAATCAATCTAATCTCCTCCCATGGGTGAATCCGTTTAATCGTGGCTCAAATTCCATGCACCCTTCACAAGGGCTGGTGAGGAGTGACCTCTGGCTTTCCTGATAGTCAGAGGGCACCAGTGGCTCCTTCAGCCTGGGACGCAGAACAGAGAAGGGGCAAGTGGGCCTCTACACACTTTCATACCACCCATCTGAGATACCTATTTCCAAGAGGGGCTTCTTCAAGATTTCCAGGGCTTAGCTGAGGAAGGGCAGCCTGCAAGCTGGAGGGGATGGAGTCTCTTCTCCAAATCATACCCTGTCTGACAATCTGGTCCGCAGACAAGACCCCAAACTCATCCTCCACACCACCCTCCTAGCTCCACAGCTTTAGGGAGAACAGCTGTGACAGCTGCAGGACTTGACAGTTTAGGATGTGCAGAAAAGAGTAAAGACCTTTCTATCCCAGACATCTGCCTCTTCCCTCCCTTCCCCACAAATCGCCTTCACCCTATCCCCTATATCGGCTCTAGAGGGCAGACCCTTGCCAGGATCTCCCGACCATCTCATGCATGCCCCGGTTATCCGGGATACTTTTCTCTTGGATGTCTAAGATGGGCTGGGGGTGGGGGGAGCTGGGCAGGGAGGGGCCTACCTCACAGTGGTAACACTCCACGTGGTAGTCTCTGTCCATGGACACAACGCGGATGGTCTCGTCTGAGCCCTGGGATCAAAGAAAAGCAACACGTGGAAGAGGCCAGTTAGGGGGCCCTTTGGGCTCCATGTGCGTGGGGTAGGGAGAGAAGAGGATTCTGGGGTAATAAGTAGGAGGCTTTGGGAGAAGAATTTAAATCAGTGTTGAATGATGACACTTGTCAGAAAAAGAACAGATTTAGCTGATGAGAAGGGAAGAGGAAGGGACAGGAGTCCTGCCTTCTAGAATGCCAGAGTCAACACTGCAAGAAAGAACTATGTGGACATTTATTTTCTTAAAAATGAATAAAAGACAAGTTTTTCTGCTAATCTAGGAGTTGGTATCAAGTAAGAGAGCCTGGCTGGATTATACAGAAAAATAGGCATCAGGCTGGGGAAGCCAGCCAAAGAGAAAGGGCTAAGACACTATATATCTCAGAGATCAGATTTTAGGTGGTTATTTTAAAAGATGTAAGAACAGGATCTCATCAATGACCCCAAGGAGATAGCCACATCTTAGAAGACCCCAGGCGCACGTCTGAGAAAGCATCTTACCTCTGGTGGAAGGATGGGAAGCCCACAGGCTGCACACTTGGGGGCCAACACCCTGGGGGAGAAACAAGCAACAGTAAAATGCACCTCCTATTGTTTCCAGGAGTAAGACTTGCAGCTGGAGCCTGCATGGAGCCTCCCTCCCCGGGGCCTCCTGCCTGTGGCTCTCATCCCTGAGTAGAGACTGGAGCCTGGCTTGCTCCACAACCAGGGCTGCTTACTCCATGGTGCCTGGTGCAGGCCCTGGCAAACCTAGGGTGGCGCAAACCAGCACTGCACCAGTGCCTTATAAAGTCAGGGAAAGCTGGAGCCACAGGGTGTGGCTGGCTCCTCCTGAGGCTCAGCTGAGATTCTGATTACAGCGCAGTTTTTGTTACTATTGTTCTTCCTTCTTCACTAAACCTGATTTTTTACTCAGTTCCCATCTACCCTGGCATCCACTGGCCTGCTGAGGCCCCTGCTGCACCCCTCAAGACCAACAAGGCTCTGTTGGCCCATGGACTATGCACAGTAGCCAGCGGATCATTTCAGTGGGTCTCCATCTTTCACTCTGGTGAGGTCAGTGCCGCTCACACATGCGGGTCCAGTCTGCTCCTGTCCTTACTTGTGGTAGTCTCGGACACAGTAGATCTTGTTCTCTGAGTCCACGGTGAAGGGCACCCCATCCAAACACTCGTTACAGATGACACAGCGGAAACAGCCAGGGTGGTAGGACTTCCCTAAGGCCTGCAGGATCTGGAGGAGAGGCAACGTCAGGCCACTAGATCACATGCACAGTCACACACATGCAGCATACTCAGCCCAGTTTCTCTTGGCTGAAGACCAATAGGAGATGTGGGTAGGACAGGCTGATCTACTGAGGTGTATAAACAGGAGGAGATCAAACAGAATCCTTCTCCTGTGACCTCTCACCAGGTCTCTGAGCTGGGAGGGAATTAAGAGGGCTGTATTCCAATCCCTAACCCAGAGCAGGAAACCCTTGTGTAGCTCTTTCCTAGGAAGAGACACTAGGGTAGGGCTGGGACAATCCCAGGCTCAAAACCCATCATAGAAAAATGAGAAATGATGCAAATCAAGGTCACAAAAGGATCCACCTCAGATTTGAGAAGCAGCAAGTACAGGAAAAAAAATCAAAAGAAATTCCACATGGGGGGCAGCGCCTGTGGCCTAGTGGTTAGGACACCGGCCCCATATACTGAGGGTGGCAGGTTCGAATCCGGCCCCAGCCAAACTGCAACAAAAAAATAGCCGGGCATTCTGGCAGGTGCCTGTAGTCCCAGCTACTTGGGAGGCTGGAGCAAGAGAATCACCTAAGCCTAAGAGCTGGAGGTTGCTGTGAGCTATGATGCCACAGCACTCTTACCAAGGGTGTCAAAGTGAGACTCTGTCTCTAAAAAAAAAGAAAAGAAAGAAAGAAATTCCACATAGAAGTGACAGAGTTCAATAAAACCTCTTAACCTTAGTTTCATGCATGCCTCTTTAAAAAGCAGTTTTGACTCAGTACATGATAATCTAGAAGCCCTGACTCAACCCAGTTATCTCAGATCCAAGTCTAACAAGCAAAGCCTCTTTGTTGTTGTTTTTGCCCAATTAGAGTACAGCAGCGTCATCATAGCTCACAGCAACCTCAAACCCCTGGGCTCAAGTGATCCTCCTGCCTCAGCCTCCAGAAGACCTGGGCCTACAGGCTTAAATCACTGCACCCAGTTAATTTCTCTATTGCTTTTTTTTTTAGTAGAGATGTGGTCTTACTCTTAAACCTCAAGCTGGTCTCAATCTCCTGAGTTCAAGCAATCTACCTACCTTAGCCTCCCAGAGTGCTAGGTTACAGGTGGACTCACTGTGCCTAGCCCCTTCCTGGTGTTGTTTTTAAACACAATGAAGGGACAACCCCACAACCCCTTCTTCCTCTCAGTGCCATTTGATCTGGTTCTGACACCTGAAACTGCTAGGGCCATCCTGAAGCCGGGACAGAGCAAAGACACAGAGGGCAGGAGAGACAAGTGATGGAAAGAACATCCCTGGTGATGTCAGTGACTAGACGCATTAACTCACCATGGAAATGCCCACCTTTAACCCTTGTTAGGTGAGATAAAATATCGTTCCTGTTAAGTTAGTGGTTCTTAAAGTGTGGTCTGTGTACCTGTGATATTAGTACTACCTGGGGACTTGTTAAAAATGCACATTCTTGGACCCCATCCCAGGCTTCCTAAATGAGGAATTCTGCAGGGAAGGCCTAGCAGTTGGTAGGCTAATGCATGCTAAAGTTTGAGAATCACTGATTTAAGATAAAATGTGGTTTTCTATAATGGGCAGTTGAAAGCCTCTTGCTAACTCAATAGCAGATACATTTTTTTCAGTTACCTGTGCTGTGAAACCTAGCACAAACAACTACAGAATCAACACAAGCAAGTTTGAACCAAAACAACCATCTGCAGACAATGTACAGAACAGTTCTCAGTACCCAGCAGTGGGGGCCACACAGAAAGCAGTGGGGGGCCACACAGAAAGCCTAAGCCCCTAAAGAAAGGGGACTTGGGATTCAGGAAAGCCTTGTCGGTGTACCGTGAGACCCATGGGAAAGATTTGCTGTGTTCTAGCTCCTTCCACTGGAAGCCTCAGGCAGGTAATTCCACACCGCACATACTCCTGCCAGGGAGGCAAGAGGAAGGCATTGTGCCTTTCCAGCTTTCAAGCTTCCTCATTCCCTTGTGGGTTTCACTAACCTTTGAGGCCTCTCTCAATCCACAATAAGCTGCCAAAATAGGAAGTCCACAGCCAGCCAGCTGGGCTTCCAAAGTCCACTTGGCACTTTGGAACTTGGAATGCGTTTCCCCCCAGATTAATGCTGTCTTGGCAAAAAGAGATCCTTAAATTAATTTATCCCACAGTATTCCTAAAGTAAGGTTGTAAAAAGATGCCATTTGGGGGCATTCTCGCTAGTGGTAATAATTTGTTTATGGTTTTATAAGCCCAGTTCCAACCTGCAAGCCCAGAATAAGTCCCTCTATTAACAAAGGGAGATCTAGATAGTAGATCTTTGAGATCTACACAAAGAGTTAGACAGTTGGAATTCTATTGCAGAACCAACAGTGATATCTGAAGGAATCTTTCTTTGCCTTATTAAAATTCGTGGCAGCAGTTAAGGGTTCTGTCTTCAAAACTGAGTTTCACTACCAGACATACACTAACTGTGTTCAGATCCTAGAGAAAACATGAAAGACTACAGGTTCAGCTTCATATTATCCCATATGGTAGAGATTGTCTCCAAAAATCAACTCCTTCCCTTCCCACATGCACAAGATATCACATCAAGAGACAGAGAATGTTTCCCCTCCCCTTGAATCAGGATCTGCCTTGAGACTTCCTCTGAGCAAGAGAATAGGAAGAAGTAATGATTTGAGATTTCTCAGTCAACGACTTACAAAGACTGGCAGCTTCTGCTTCCTTTCTCTTGCTGTAAGGAAGTCTGAAGTAGACTATTAAGTCATTAGAAGCCACAGAGAGAGGCCTAGAGGGTGAGAAGTCCTCTTGGTTGTTCCAGCTCAACTGTGCCACCAGCTGAACAAACTGAGTAAGTGACCCCAACCCACGCCACACAGAGCAAAAGAATCGCCCTGCTGATCCCTGACCTAAATGGAACCCAATCTATTGATGACCATTCCGACTAAGTTTTGGGGTAGTCTGTCATGCAGCAATAGATATATGACCTACTCTGAAGCCCAAAGAAGCCCTAAGACCACCAGCAGTAAGAAGCATGTATAATCATACTCATATATTTGGACCATGCTGATTGAACTTACATGCACTGGGTTTGTCAGAAGGACCCTAAAAACGGAGAAATTGCTGAAGAAATGGAACCAAACAGAGTCTGGCAGGCACTTGGGGCAGGCAGGGGTAAGGATTAACGGCTTCCACCTGCCCGAGCGAATGGGGGTGGGGGGGACCATGTTCCCTGGGGAGGCTGTAGCTACTAATGAGGACTCAGGTCTCACAGGGCTAAGCTCTGCTGTGGTCTGTCAAAGTCTGCATGACACCAAGTCCTCTTCACCAATAGGTCTCTGGGTCACTGTGTCTTACAAGATTAGCACGTAACAAGCAGATATGAGTGTTTATGTTCATTGAAGACATGCACAAGAGTGTTCACAGCAGTATCA